TCTGTGTTATATTGCAAAATTTTACGCTGCCCTTTTGTGCCTTTTAGAAGCCATGCCTTGTTTAATACAAGTGTTGCAGCAGTCAAATTAGCTAAAAGTTACATTGATCTCGCGACTGGTGATGTTGTTGTGTGTGGTGTTCTCTTGTTTTTCATGTTATTTTTTTTTCTAGTTATTTGTGCTCTTCCTTTCCGTATATTTTTGTTTTTATTTTTGTTTCTTTTAATAATATTATTTGTTACAATAAAATTTTGTTTTTGTTTATTTTAATAATATTTTTTGTTTTGACAAAGAGTGATTGTGTTGTGCAGTTTCAAGTAATCGGGCAAAAATTATTTTTGAAAGGTTTTTTTATTAGCATTTTTTATAGATACAAGTTCGAACGTTGTTTTTTTTTAATCGTCGAAGTTTATGATGAATTCAAGCGCTCAAACAATGAATGACAAGATGACATTTTTAGCTGAAGAAATCAAAAAACGCACCAAAATGCAAAAAAGTGCGGAAATAACAAAAATAGATGTTAATTTAATAAAAAATGAACGTGTTGGTTATTGCTGTATCCAGTGGCCATGAGATTAATAATGAAAAATTTCAAATATATATTGAAACGTATCCTTGGACCCGAAATTGTGTCAAATGCCCTTTTACATATTAGGTGTGTCTGGTTACTTTTCCAGTAACACTTATTCAGTAAGTTCTAGTTCAGAGAGTAAGCCTTTCTTACTCTCTTTTGCGATAATACAGAAAAAAGTAAACAGACAACATTTAGTAAGATTTAGCAAATAAACAACTGATTCAAGAAAACATTTGATTTGCCCCAAAATAAACAACAAACAAAGGACGAACACAATTATTTGTATTGCATTTAATATTAAAAATAAAATGAATAATAAAAGAAAAATTGATCTGGTATGTTCCCCAGGAACATTTAAGCTCCCTGCATCAATACATTGCCCTCTATCTGGAACTTGCCTAAAAATATATAAGGAATTAGTTTCTAATTTAATGAAACTTTGCATTACATACGAATTTTCTTCCATTTTCTGTAATTAACTTCAAATTGAACTTTGCAAATTAAAAAAAAATGTTTTAAATAATTTTTGTGTTTAATCAGAAAACAGCTGATCAGAAAATGGCTGGGTTGCAAAATATTATGAATAAAATTCTTTCAGTAAACTCCAGTAAGTTTGTTGTTGTTCAACTGTCAAACTTGCTCTCTCCCTTGACTCTCTTTTACTGGATTTTTGTGTAAACAGACAACATTTAGTAACATTTGGTAACAATTGTTACCAAATATCGAGTTAACAGACAGAGCTATTGAGCAGTTATCAGAAGTTGGTGATGCTGCGGACTGAGATGGCCTGTCAGAACCAGTGACGTAAATGACATACAAACCCACTCAGAACCATTAGATTTTTGATAAAATAGCTATTTACATTTATCGATTTGGAAATAACGTATGCTTTACTCAAATCCATATTAAATTTCAAAATTTGTTTATCAAAAAAGTTCAGAATTTTTTATCAGTTCTACACCGTTTTCACATGTTATTCAAAATATATCAAATGTAATTCGAGAATTCCATTTGTAATTCACAACATATAATTTGAAATTCGAGAATTCCATTTGCAATTCACAACATATCAGCTGTAAATCGAGAATTTCATTTGTAATTCATAGAATACCTTTCCAAATTCATAGAATTCCATTTGAAATTCATAAACTTCCATTTGAAATTCCAAGTATTTGCGTTTGAAATTCATAGAATTCCACTTGAAATTAATAAAATTCTATTTGAAATTTAAATAATTCCATTTGAAATTCCTAACATTTGTTTTGAAATACATAGCATTCCATTTGTTTTTCATAACATTTTATTTTAAATTCGAAAAATATTATTGGTAACACAAAATTAATATGTATGAATTTGAAATGAATTGGTATGAAATACAACTGAAATTTTATGAATTATAAGTGAAATGTTATGAATTTCAAATTGGATTCTTTGAATTTCAAATGGATTTCTTTGAATTTCAAATGAAACTTAACGAAATTCAAATTGAAATATTCGAATTACGAATGACATTTTTTAAATTTCAAATGTAATTTTTTGAATTTCATACGAAAAGTTTAAAATTACAAATGAATTATTGTGAATTGCAGATGAAATACTCGAATTACAACTGAAATGTTATGAATTGCAAATTGAATTTTCGAATTACAAATGAAATTCTCGAATTGCAATTGAAATGTTTTGAATAACATTTGAAAAAGGTGTAGTAAAGAATAGCCAGATATACAGTAAAAATAATATATGTTATTGAAAATTACTGTATATGGTGATAATATTGAAATAAATGACGTTTACTACATTTTATACAGGTATATGACGTTTTCGACGATTACACCTTTTTGACAGTCGAAAACATGAAAATTCGTCATACGGACCATCCCTGGCTGCGGATGATTGACTTTAAGATGTATAAAATTCAATGTTTAAGTTCTCATATTGTACTCCTTGCACTATATACCTACAGTGATATTTGGCATTACTTAATAAAATTATACTCAAATATACTTAGAAAACATTTTTTTAAACTTATTTTAATGGTATTAACTAAAAAATAAAGAAAAATTATCCTAACATAGCTTCCCTGATTTGATCCAAGAAAACATGCTACTCTAACTCCGTAATCGACCCATTAGTATTCTCGTCTAGGTAGAATATTTCAATCTTTAAACAAGAGAAGACTATTGCATAAATTCGCTTGCCAAAAAAGTTGCTTTCAAGGCCTATATAAGGTCGGGCAGTAAGGACAGCTGAGTATTAAGTTTGCTGTCAAATCACCCTGCAGTAATGGTAATCGACTGATGAATTCATCGACTACCACAAAAATACATCGACAACTATCAAACTACATATTATTCTTTTGATTTGCGAATTGTATATGGTGATGCCTCACCCTTTCAACTACCATTCATCGCTAAAGATTTCGACTAGCTGTCAAACTACCGACAATACTTTTGATCGGCGAATTTTATATGGCGATGGCCCCTTTGGTGATTAATTAATGATTTAACTACCATTCGTCGATAAATTCATCGGCAACATTCCGAGAGAGATTTCGTCCTTGACATCTAAGTTAAAAATACATCATTTATTTTTTAAAATCAAATTACAACCACTTTTAAGATAAAAGTCGTCTTATTTCTAAACAAAGGCAAAAAAACGTAAAAAGTAGAATTAAGAAAAGCAAATATTATGACTTAGTCACGTAATCATGTAGTTGAAAATTTGACTTTTAAATTTTTAAGGTTGGAGACACTATTTTACAAATTACCACTGAGTGATGTAGTCGATGATAATTCATCGTCGATGTAGTCCAAGGCTCATATATAATGTTAACCGGCAGGCGAATTCATGCCTTATATAGGCCTTGGTAGCTTTGATGTAGTAATTCGCCGATGCGACTACCTAATATATGTACCTTGGGTCAAACAATTAATTAAAAAGAGAGACGTCCGTCTGAATATGACATTACTTTAAATAGTGTTCGTTATTTCTCAGCATTGAATTTTAAAACTTTGGAATGGTGTTGTTTATTCGGTGTATACTTAAAAATAATCGAGTACAAATGTTATTCTAAACACATATGTATATGTTGTACTGAACATACATTTTATGCGTATATAATTCTATTATATATAATTATATATATAGAGTACTAGTAAACATATAAATTTGGTACATACAGAAGGCAACATTGGAATGACTTTGTCTTTTATACGTACATACATACTTCTTTTACAAAATAAGTTAAATTAAAACAAAAAAAACCAACAATATTACAAAATTACATACAAACTCAGAAAATACATAAACATAAGCATATATAGACTCTTTAGATTTATCAAAAATAGAATGCATACATGTTCAAAAGTAAATACAAAAGTTCACAGCTCTTGGCTGACCATTGGCTGTGGATTGGTGTACATGTTTTGGATGACATCCCTACCGCTGATAAGATACAATATCACTTTTATACGAGTCATTTGTTTGTTTAGGCACGATTCGATGGTTTAAATTTCTTTTTTTATCATCAATTATAATATATAATAATAGATACAAATAAATAGTAAATATGTATGATTAAAAATACTTTTGTTTTCATTCATTAGCACTTTTATGGAACCGAAAAGATTTCTTTGAGAAAATCCCATATATCGATTGTTACTGTCTTGTGAAGGACCTGGGAGAAGGAGTTTTGTATAGTTATCATAAAAAATTATAGCACACTATGTGCTTAACAATAAGAAGCAGACAAATAATAAGATATAACCTTAAATATATAGTTAATGGAATACAGGTGATTATAGTGCATGGAATGTGCTCTGTGGAATGTGCTTAGTGTGGAGATTGACTTATTTGGTTATTAAAGCATTTGATGGAGTCTTTCAGAGTTTGAGCAATTGTTTATTGGAGTTCTTATTATCTGGAATGACGTTTATGTTCTGACCGTAAGATGGGTTTTTCTTCTGGTGCAACACACTCGCGTTCACGTACACTGGAGCGGGCCGTGTTGTGATGGTTGGACTTGATGTTGTTGCTGCCTGCAGCGGCACCACAGTCGTAACCAATGGCTCCGTATGGGGAACAGGTGTCGCCACCTTCAGTGCTTGTGCTGCCTGTGTCTCCGCCGCCTCCTCCTCGTCCTCTTCCTCCTCCTCCAAAATGATATCGCCGCCCACTAGGGCTATGCGATTGATCTCTTTGATCGGCCGTAGTGGTGCCGTATTGCTGCCATTGCGTTGTATGCCGCTGCTGTTGTTGTTGTTTTGGATGTCTGCAATCGGATGAAGGCTCACTGGAGCCATGGACTGTGGCGTCTCGTTTTTCACTGTCGCCCTGTTCACGCTCTCGATAGATGTTGGCACTGACACCGATGTTGGCACCGTCATTGTTGAGTCCATCATATTTGCTGTATTGTCGCTCGCCACCGAGCTTCTTTGGGATGGTGTCAATTCCATAGCTGGCACTTGGGCGGAGCTGCTGCAACTGGTATTTGGCGGGTCCGCTGCCGACATTTGCGAGACAATAGTGCGACTGTGGTTGTGGCTCAACCCGGTATCTTTCCATTTCTCTAAAACAAATGAGAGTGACTTAGATGTTTGCTCCATTACCATGGCAATAGTTTCACATACCTGCAGCACTGCTGCCACCACCGCCATTTGCACCAGCGCCATGTTTGCCGAAGGGCAATAGGCGTGACGGTTCGCACATGATCACAGTTTTGTACGCCTTACGATACTGCTTGTTCATGATCACGTAGATAATTGGATTAATGCAGGCCGACAGGTACAGCATAATATAACTGAGTATGTGTAAATTGGGGTGCTCAACATCCTGATCGGCCACCTTAGCAATTGTTATGGGCAAATAACAAACAACAAAACTCAAAAATATGGCCAACACCATCTTTGTGATGCGCCATTCATTGCGTTTGGCGCGCACCTCTCTCTGGTCCTTGATCCGGGTGGTTGGTTGTTTTTGTACAGATTCTTGTTTTACGTCTGTCGAAAAACTACTGCTGGACGATACTCTACTCTGGAGATTGCCCGTTTCCACATTACTGCCAGCCGACGGTGGTGGCCTCAGATTATTAGGTATGGAATTCTGTTTGTTGGCGTGACGCTTAAGTCGCTGTTCCGATTTGTGCACAACCCAAAATATTTTCGTATAACATGCGATAATAATCAGACAGGGTATAACAAAAGCGGTGATAAACAGCGCCGTTTTACTACTGTGTCCATGGTCGTCTTCTCGAATCGAACAAGTTCCCAATTTGGGATCATAACCAAATGTACCCCAGGCGCCAACTAAAGTGGGCAACTGCATGCCGTACGAGAATACCCAACAGAAAACGATCATGGCAGCAATCCAGTGACGTTTATAGATTTTTCCATATGAGTTGTGATGGGCAATCATAACATATCTGCAAAAAAGGGGGGGTGGAGAATAATATTGGGTTATATGTTAATTAATAATTAATTAAATATGAAATATATGTACATACATATATGAATATTTTGTGGCAATAACAATTTGAAACAAATTATTGTTGAATATGTGGTGAATAGATATTTTTTAATCTCAAAACTTATTGAGTAGATGCATATTATTCTGATAAACACAATTCTAAAATTGATCATTAAGAATTGAAAAATAAAATGCTAGTAGGGACTTTTAAAAAAGTTAAAATATTTCTGTGAATAGCTGTGCCTGGTTACTTTTCCAGTAATATTTAATCGTTTCATTTAATCAGCTCTTTTTCAGAGAGTAAGACGTTGTTGTTCTCTTTGCAATGATACTGAGAAAAGTAAACAGACAACATCCAGTATGGTTTTGCAAAATATCACGTAATTTCACTTAAAATGCTTCAAATTTACTTTTAAGACTTATTAAGGTAAACAAAAATAAAGAATGCTTTTGACTTTGGCCAAAATTTAAAATTAACAGCTGATTGAAATACATCGAATTGTGCCGGATAAATTTGGCAAACAATGTTGACATTTCCGGACATTATGTTTTATTAAAATTTGGATAAAATTTAGTTTTATTAAGAATATTATAAATAGAAAAACAATGCATAAAGAAAAAATACAAATAAAAAACAATTGCATATTCTTGCTTGATCTTGAACCATGAAATTAATATTTTCGACTTACCTATTGATAGTTATCATGGCAATACATAGCAGTGACACGCCAATATTTCCGTATTGGATGAAAGGTATCATTTTACATAGAACATCTCTTGGCTCCCATGTTCCTTCAATAAATCGATATGCACTGAATGGTAATACCAGAGCGCAAAACAATAAATCGGCAATGCATAAGCTAAAATAACGAAAAAAAAAAATAAATAAATAAATAATATGCCAATTAATACATGTGATAGTTTATAATTCTTAGTTATTTAGATTTTAAACCTTGTGTAGGGTTTGTTTATAAGGTTAAACGATAAGGTCACCTGAGATCTTTGTTGTCTGTCAAAATTGATTGTCCGAAGAAAAAGTAAATACATAAATAATATTTTTATTTTAACAAAATTACTAGTGAATTATTACCATATTTGCGATTTTGAGAAAGAATTTCAATAAAAAAGCTTGACAGCAAAGGAAGACTAACAGCCTGATTCTGTAAAATTAGAAACGAAACAAACCGAACGAATTACTACCAAGCCTTTTTTTATGTATAAAAATGTTTCTTGATTCAAAACAAATGACATATTTTTAAAGGACAAAATCAGGCTGTATATGTAGGTCATCCTATAAGTTTCTAAGCTAACCTGTTTCTTGTTAAAATTAGTTTGGTTATAGTTGTTAAAAAAATATATATTTTGCACGTTTAGACTACTGGTTTTTATCGTTACAATGTGCACTGATTTAGAAGGCATTGTCTAAACGCTCCTTTACTGGTACAGGCTATTCATTTTATTATATGCCTGAAAATATGCAACAGTTTTAGTATTCCATTGAATGGAAATAATTTATAAACAAATTGAACCAATTGAATAGTTTGCACCAATTTTTCAATATTTATTTATTTTATAACAATGATCTCCAGCAACTTAGAAGAAACATAAACTTTTTGAAATAACAGGAAGGAGACAATGCAGTGGATTTAAAAAAAATATATTTATATTTTACTACTAACTAACACGACCACATGATCTTTATTCGGGTTAAAGGCACATCTCTAAAATTTAATAAATTGCATATTATGTTATCTTTATTTTAAAACTTACCTCATTATGAATGCCGCAGCTACATTCCGAACCTTGGGACACTTAATTAATGCCGCCACTGTTAGAAAATTACCAAATATTCCGACTATCATTATTAGCAACGTCATAATGGCAGCAAATGTTAGCATGGAAGATGAAAATCTGAAAGAAAAACGAAGTAAGCTAGTATTAAAGTCAAACGTTCTAGTATACAGCCAAATAGATAGATAGTGGAAAAAAGTTTTCATGTTGCCGATGGTTGTCGCACCACAACCACCAATGAATGTGTGATATGATAACAATTCAAAGAACGGTCTTTGAGTAGTTTGGACGAACATTGATTGGATTAAAAGTTTGTGTCGGTTTGTTTTTGTATTTCGCAATGATGTGATAGGGAGGCATGGTTCATAGCAGAATAACCCAAATGTTTTGATATGTAGTACTGATTTTGATTTGACAATGAAAGGAATTCATTCATTAATAATATTAGGGCCTGTGAAAAATGTATATCGATCAAAACATAATCAGAACCTTTGTACTTTGTTGTAGTTGACATCTTCATTGCACTATTCCATTGTGGTATTTGTGTATGTGAACATGTCGCTCATTTACACAAATATTGGTATATTCCGAAAATCAATTTTGAAGAACAAAATCAAGGTTTATTCATGAATAAATCTTGAACAAAATTCGACGCCTCCGAACCATAGTATGCTAAGTCTGAAAAGTGAGTTTTTCAGTAGAAGCTTTCAAAGTATGGAAGTTTCTTTAATCGTACGTGCCATGCTAAGTACATTTTTGCTTATAACTTTGGTTTGGATTGGCCGATGATTACCAAAGTGTCAGTGAATTTAAATTAAGGACCATAGTATCTAAAAACGTAAAGAACTTTAAAACATGCTTAGTCGACTTAGCATACTATGGTTCGGAGGCGTCGAATTGTTAAAATTTAATGGCAATATAAATTAAAAATTTGACATTTAATAAAATATTATTAAATGGTATTATTAACACTAGAACGCCAATTTCAAGTACAAAAGCAACTGTGCATTTAATGACACTTTTTTTTTAAATATGGCGACTTTTTGTACCTCATAGAATTACGTTTATTATAAAAAATTCACCAAATTTTTAAAAAATGTCATTAAATGCACAGATGGTTTTGTACTTGAAATTGGAAATAGGTCAACATGACCGCCTTCGGCGTTCTAGTGTTAAATCAGAACTATACCGCCATAGTCAAGTCTCTGGTGTGAACAAGTTGTACAGTTTCTGCAACTGTAATATCTATATATATATATATATAGTAGGTAAAAAACCTACATCTCTTTTTTATTATTTTTTTACTATTGTAAAGGCGGGATACATTATATCGACATGCTTATTTTTTGAAAAATTTCCTCTTTAATTTGGGTTCCAAATTCCACATTTATTACGTGGATAATTATGACGTGTTTGTATTTCATTATAATCCAATAAAAGCTTACATACATCATAAATTCGAACATATAGACACACAAACAAGAAACTATTTTTTGGGGGATTGTTATTGTTATTTCTTTCTTTTACAAATAAACTAAGGCACGGTCATGGCACGAGGGTAGGAACATCCACAAACAATGGCTTTAGAAATAATCCCCTCATAATTTAAGCAGCTACTGAACTTACCCATCTGTGGCTTCTGCCATGTTGTCGTCAACGCTGCCGATGCCGGAGTTATTGTCATAGGTTGCGGTACTCATGCTGAAAATAATCAAAGAAATAAAAAAAAACGAATGAGAATATTAGTATTGTGGTTGTTTAATAGCAGTAGCAGAATATTATGCTGATTGCAGGGGGAGGGAGGGTATAGGCTGCCATGTGTAATGTAATGTAGCTCAAATAATGAGTGGGGTGGAATTTTCTTTGATTTGTATTGATAACCTAGTCCCCTAAATATACAGTTGTCAAACAATTGAATACTTATCAAAAGCTTCTGAGAGTTTTCTAACTTTGCAGCAGTGTTAGTGTGTTCAGAGACCCAAATTTATGTTTTGATAAGTTTTTGATGATAATGCCTGATGTTGTAAATTTCAAAGGGGTTTCGAGTAAAGCTAACTCAAAATTAAATTATATGTGTCGGAGGGATTGTGTACATGTAGCTCATATGTTGGAAGAACAACAAGCAAATAGGCACACATTGTGAAGAACAGCAGTTTAATTGAAATGTGTAAATATATTTGTTTTTATATTGTTTTAAAAAGTAGATGAAAGGCCTTGCTATAATCATTACATTAAGAACCAAAAAAAAAAAAAAAATGACTGAAATCTAAATTCACTGTAAGAGTGTGTATATCTAAAAAAATTGGGTTTTACTGTATGGATGCTTATCAATATTCACAAATTTAAAAAAAATTGTTTTAAGCGGCAATAAGTATTTTGGGCAAATCAATTACAGTATTTACTAAATTCAATACATTAAAATTAATTAATTTGTAGGTATTGTGCTAAGATAAAATTTATGCATACTTATTACAGTATGTCAGACAAATGCAATAGGTTTCGATTAATAGATCTGTGTACGCCCCAAAACCGGGTTGTGCAAAGTTTGGTTCATATCGGACATTTCATTCGCCTGATATTGCATTTACAAATAATAAAAATGTTGACCATTTGTGGGGGAGGTACCAGAAGGAGTGGACCTCCCATCTTCGGACTTAATCTAGACTTCGTAAAGATAATGATTTGTGCAAAGTTTGGTTCACATCGGTTATTCCTTTCGCCTGATATTGGGTTTTCAAATATTGAAAATTTTGACCATTTGTGGGGGAGATACTAGAAGGAGTGGACCAATTTGTCCCATCTTCCTACTTGATCTTGTCTTGGTGAAGATAATAGGTTGCACAAAGTTTCATTAAAATCGGATAATCCGTTTGTATGTTATTATAAAATTAATTTTTAGCACAATGGGTCCCATCTTCAAACTTGACCTAGGCTTGGTAAAGGTAATAGGTTGTGCAAAGTTTGGTTCAAAACGGTCGTTCCATTAGCTTGATATTGGTATTATAAATATTGAAAAATTTGACCCTCTGTGGGGGATGTACCAGAAAGGTGGGCCAATGGGTCCCATCTTTAAACTTGACCTAGGCTTGGTAAAGATAATAGGTTGTGCAAAGTTTCGTTAAAATAGGATAGTCCGTTCGCAAGATATTCGAAAATTAATTTTTAGCACAATTTTGACCGTTTTGTAGGAGAGGTAAGAGGAAGGAGTGGACCGATATTCTTCATCTTCGAACTTAAGTAAGTTTGGAAGAAATATTAAGATGTACAAAATCTGAATAAAATCGATTGCTGCCTTCGAGAGTTATCGTGCGCATCTGCCAGACAGGCAGACAGACAGACGGATAACGGACGGGCACACGGTCGGACATGTTTAAATCGACTTCAAATTTTTGAAACGGATTTGGTCCAAAGAAACATGGGGTCTAAAACCAATATTTTGATGAGGCACATTTTCACCGCATCAAAGTGTATATACCCTCATTAGCCATAAGGCTGATTCTTTAAGGCGTGGATTTTTTAAAATATTTTTCAAAGAATATTCTGAGGCGTAGATTTTTTAAGAAATTTTTATTCTGAGGCGTAGATTTTTTAAAAATATATTTTTAGAGACTGTTCTGAGGCGTAGATTTTTTAAATATATTTTTCAGAGACTATCCTGAGTTGTAGATTTTTTAAATATATTTTTCAGAGACTATCCTGAGTTGTAGATTTTTTAAATATATTTTTCAGAGACTATCCTGAGTTGTAGATTTTTTAAATATATTTTTCAGAGACTATCCTGAGTTGTAGATTTTGTAAAAAAAAATTCAGAGACTATCCTGAGTTGTAGATTTTGTAAAAAAAATTTCAGAGACTACCCTGAGGTGTCGATTTTGTAAAAAATATTTTCAAGAATCTTAAACAAGCGGGGGGTTTTTTTTAATATTTGTTGGAACCTTAAACAAGCCGTCGATATTTTTATAAATATTTCTTGGCACTTTTTTTTATTAAAATTTGCTCAAATCCAATTTACATTTGTGTTTTTTCTATTATTGTCCAGATAATACTTAAAAAAAATAAAAAATTGATTTCATGATTTTCATCAATAAAAACTTAACCGCTTACAAAATGTCTCAACCGCTATTCGTATATTTATTCATTTGATTTTCTCAAGAATTTAATTTGTAAACGGATGATACAGTCTGTCTCATTCATCATAAATTATGTTGGTATTATTCATCACTTTTTTGTTTTATATTAAGCTTCCGAAATTCTAAATAAAGTTTCATATTCACAAGAGCAATTGTTTTTTTTATTTTCGCAGAATTCCAATTCTCCAAACAGAAAAGAGGCTTCAGATTTCTGAGAAATAAACGGTAATTTTAATACTATATTTTTATTACACAATAATCAATTACCGATTTGTTTTTCTTTTTTACTTCTATTTTGTTTTCTTTCTTTGAGCACTGAGGGAACTGTAGGGTTTTCACCTTTTCTGTTCGTCTGCTACGACTATCTTCCGGATATCGACTGAGCACAGTAACGGGGTTTGTCTTACTGCCGCCTCGCAGTAACAAATTTTAGAAATCGAAAAAAGAATGCGTTCTTGAGAGAATAAAGTCAATGATGATGATGATGAAGGAGAAGAAGAAGCAGCAGTAATAAATATTAAAACAAAATTCGAAAAGAGATCTTAATAAAAAAATCAACAACAGCAAAGAATGAAATTGATGAATTCATCAGACTCAGACTAATGGGTGAATGAATGCATTGTATGAATGATTGAAGGAAGAAGTCTGAATGAATATGGACAAATGCATGCATATGTACATGTTAACTGTATTTATTGTATGTTTGTTTGTAACAATTACTGTTCAAAGTTCGTATCGCGTAGATCAGATCAGACACTCCAACTTCCATGCGAGTATGGTGGTGCTAGTTGGTGTTGTCCATATGGGTTCACATCATCATCATCATTCATTTATCCATCTAGCTATCTATCCACCCATTCATTGATAGATACAATCAGTAAAAACAGACATATACACTCACACACACATTATATGGACGGGTTGGGTTAAATTGGTGCCAACATTCGGGTTACGTTACTCTTATTTTTAAATTAGTGTCAATTAAATAATTTAAAAGGGTCAGTTTCATTGCGCCTCATTCATACGCCGCGTATTGCTTGTTTACGTTTTCTTTTGGGTGCCTAGCCTAGCCTCCTCGTCAAACAAGCTTCGTTGCTATTTATATGTTGGACATTCAGGCAATTTGGTGCGAATGCACTCTTGCCTTAACCATTTTCATTAAGTTTCCCTACTCAAGCGACGTTGGTCTGATGATGGAAGAAATGTTGTGGTATGGGACGATATAAATGAGCTTATTGAAAGGTCATCCATCCAGCAGACACAAAAAACGAAATTAATGTAACGATAACAATTGTGGAATTAAAATGAAGTTTGATCAGTTAGACTGTACAAAAACACACACTTACTAAACACCAAAAAAGCAAAAATTTCAGGCATTTTTTAAAAGAAATCTAACAAAGTTTTTTAAAAATATTTGTAAGGACCTCAAGAAATGCTAGGATTAAAAAAAAAAATATTTTCTCAGAGACTATCCTGAGGCGTGGATTTTTATAAATATTTTTAAAGATATCTTACAATGCGTGGACTGTTTAAAAATATTTTTTTCAGAGACTATCCTGAGGCGCAAATTTTTCTAAAAATATTTTTTAAGACCTCTAAGAAGGCGTGGATTTTGGAAAAAACTTTTATGAACCTTTTGGATTTTTTAAAAATTTTTTTTACGGCCTCTAAGAAGGCGTGAATTTTCGAAAAATATTTTTTAGGACCTCTAAGAATGTCTGGATTTTTGAAAATTATTTTTAGGTCCTCCAAGAAGTCGTAGATTTTTGAAAAATATTTTTAGAACCTCCAAGAAGACGTGGAATTTTCTCTAAAAAGGCATGGATTTTTTAATATAATTTTTTTCAGAGACTATCCTAAGCCTTTGAAAAGGCATAGATTTTTTTAAATATTATTTTTTCAGAGACTATTCTAAGGAGTGGATTTTTAAAAATGTGTTTTCAGAGACTATTCTGAGGTGTGGATTTTTAAAAAAATGTTTTTCATATGAGGAGTATATTTTGTAATAATATTTTTCAGACGCTATACTGTGGAGCATATTTTTTAAAAATATTTTTTCGGATACTTTCCTGAGATGTAATCCTGAGACTTGAATTAAAAAAAAATTAGAGAGGTGTGGATTTTAAAAAAAAAAAATTTCAGAGGCTATCCTGAGGCATGGATTTCTAAAAATATATTTTGCAGAGGCTAATAATATTTTTTAGAGACCGTCGTGAGGAGCAGATAAAAAAAATTCAAAGACTGTCATGAGGCGTGGATTTTTAAAAATATTTTTTAAGAAATTATTCTAAGGCGTGGATTTCTTATAAATATTCATACTATTCTAAGGCGTGGATTTTTTTAAAAATATTTCTTCAGAGATTATTCTAAGGCGTTGATTTTTTAAAAAAATCTTTCTTCAGAGATTATTCTAAGGCGTTGACTTTTTAAAAAAATCTTTCTTCAGAGATTATTCTAAGGCGTGAATTTAAAAAAAAAATTCTTCAGAGATTATTCTAAGGCGTGGATTTAAAAAAAAAATCTTCAAAGATTATTCTAAGGCGTGGATTTTTTAAAAAAAT